AAGTTACTTGACCTGGCTGAAGGGGTTGCATAGATTTGCAGAGCTCTCTTTTCATTGGCATTGCAAACTCAGTTACCTACATTTAGAGGGTGGTAAATGATAAAGGACACAACAAAGAATTCACAAGTACAGTAAGAACCTAGGTAGGAAACTTATTAATCACAAAAATAATTGCTGAACAGTAATCAATAAGTAAAGCACAGGCAGCTTGTGTCTCTAAGGAGTTGACATGAATCACAAAACCAGGTAAGACTGTGACATGCAAACTGAGAGTGAGAAATGAAGGTCGTGGTGGTATTGAGCCGACTGAAAAACACTGAGGCAGGAGATAACCAGTGTACCATAGATACGACAGTATAGAAATGTAATCTCTAACATGCTGAGAATGTTGCTTCATCATAAGCTCTTGCTTCAACGTAAGTTGCTCCAACTTATTTTATGTACCTTATCCCTTAGTGTAGCCGTGTTGCCAAAGTGACCAATGACTGAGCTCTGGGAGACAAACCTTTGGGTTTGGTGGTGAAGGGGAACTAATGGCCAAAACTGAAGAGAATGTAACAGTCTGGCAGTGCATGTTAGCTGGCTGTTGTCCCTGATGTGTCCACAGCTGCTAGCTGCACTCCATATTGTTTCATTCAAAAACATCACGGAAAGCTCTGAGGTGGCCTCCTCTTGCTGTGGAACAAGAAGAACTCAATTAGCCTGTACTTTCTGTGGCTGCTAACAGCAGCAGCACTCAAGGAAGTAAATGCTTTCTGTTTTGTTTTGTATTGAATTAAGATTTATTTTGAGTGATTTAAGACCAATCCTGAAGGAACAAAGCGAAGGCTTCAAATACAATATTAATTGTATCTAACTCAATACCTCCTTTCTAGCATGACTTCAAAGGACTTTCAATCAAAATGGTGTTGGAGGTAGAATTTTTACCTGCATCCAGACTCAATTCATGAGCTTCAGTCCTGAAATCTTTGTTCATTCTCCATTAGGTGGCTGTAAATAGAGGTATGCTCTGGCTACAGGTAAGTTGGACTATGGAGTAACCAATGATAATTCTAATTTCACAGTAAAATTGACTGCACTGAGTTTGACTCCGGGCTCATCTAGACTGAGGCCATAGTTGCAACAGCGGCCATAAGGAAATGTCCCACAGAGAAAAGGACTGAAGTAAGTGTATGTGATACAAATTACCCAGTGGATGTAACATACTATATTGGAAGTCCTAGAACCAAGACAAGAAATGGTTTGCAACACTATCCAGTTCCTTTTGGACAGTCTGGGAGCTCCACGCAAGGTTTGTATATATACACCTATGAAACAGGAACATTAAAACAGGTGAATAATGATGAATTTTGGTTAAAAAAAAAAAAAAAAAAGGCATGTTTCCAGGCACACTGTTTCAGGAGGCATCTCCCTCATCAGGACTCTGTGTCTGGTAGGCAGTGTATTGCTAGTTGACTGCTGTACGTAATGCAGCAGTCACTGCTGCACTGTCACCAGCTGCAGGGCTGGCTCGCCGCTGTTTCAAGGGAATTCCTTTGGAAGACACTGGGATTCATGCTGGAATTCGTGCAGCTGGTGCAGCTGTGTGCGATGGGATGGCAGTGTATGTTGGCTGCTTGAAATTCTGGTAGCAGCTAACACGCATCTGCTTTCTTTTCCCACATACCTTGGTCATCAAAACAGAGAGCTACTACTTACGAGTAAGAAATCTTTTTGTTTCTCCTGACTATTGCTTTCTTTTACTGTCAGGCAAATACAAGTGGTATCTTGTATTTCCATTATTCTAACAACAGTGGGAATTTTTGATTGATTTAGACTCTGGTGTTCATCTACTTTTAGATAGCAAGGTAACAGGAAGCTTTTAAATACATGAAACAGGTAAATAATTAAAATATTTTAAAAAAATTTTTAGCTCTTGGGAGCTTTTTAAAAGCAAAAGCAGCACAGTTAAAAACTTCACATGCATTTTAAGTTTGATTTTAATTTTTTAATACTAATATTTGGCAAGTGCAGCTTGATAGTTTTTGAGAGGTGTTTTTGTTTGTTTGTTTTTACTTGAGTAATTAGAGTCCTCAGTGGGTTAAAGTCACTTTTATTAACGTCCTAAATACTATACCTGAAAAATAATTACGTTTCCATTGTATGTGATTTTAAAAGCAAGCCTTAGAGTTTTTCCTCTCTGATTGCTCTCTGAATTAATGAATTGCTAATTAATTAATAAAAAAAACCCTAATTTGTGAACATCAATGCATTTTAAGAAACCGCACATAATCCCACCAGCCACACTGTGAGCAGGACATAGCACTATACTTGGAAGAATAAAGGTTGGAAGCACACTGATATTTTTGATTCATGTTACACTGCGAGTTTCTGTCAGACATACTACTGCAGCCAACAGAGTGTTAATTTTATCCTCCTGGCACTTTAGGCACCTACAGAGTGCGGAAGAAAGTCTTTGCTGCTACTTGTTTTATGTAAGTGCTGCTGTATGTGCGTGGGGCAGTGAAGAGAAGGAGCAGCAGTGCTGCTGAAGGTGTGCAGAGTCACGGCCATCCCCCGCTGCGTGTGGTGATTAGGCAGTGTATTGTTAGTTAGCTGTTCCTCACACACCAGCAACTGACTACACTGTCAGATTAGCACATCCCTGCCGAGACAAGAGTATAAACACTGCTGTTACAAACATCTCATGAGTCCCCAGCTGCTCCAGTGCTGCCTGGCGTCCCTGACCGAAGGGAGCGGCACTAGGTTAGGCAGACTGAGTGAATGCAGGGTTTAAAATAAAGCGTGAGTGTAGAAGTAAATGCAGTTGTACTTCATGCAGTTATACAGCTACCCCAACTGGTTTATGAACAATCTACTGAATTATGTAAATATTAAGGAACAGTTTCAGGTTTGAACCCTACGTGAATATGTTTCTCTTGCACCACTAAATGTTTGAAGGAACATTGATGCGTTGGCTCAGCAAACAGGTATTTTACTTGAATTTACAGGAATATGTACTACTGGTGACGAATTTACTTAGAATATTTTCACTCCCAGGCAACTTTTTGGAAAGAGAAGCTCACAGTTAAATGGTATTTGTTTATGAAAATAGGGATATGTTAGACCTAAGGAGTGAAGGAAGTTTGAGATGGGAGTGAAGGGTTAGGATGGATGATGCAATAGGTTATGCTCAGATGGAAATCAAATAACTTTAATACTCATGGACTGACTTTTGTTAAGCATCATAGAAGGGTAGTTTAATCTTAAACAGGGGGGATTATTCAAGAATACAAGAAATAGGTTTTAATCTGTTTAAAATGTTACAGTTTGCATTTTATATGCTATATTTTTAATTAATGTTAAGTGGATATTTATATAGACATGCTTTAACACTACTTTCTTGGCTTTTGACTACAGATAAATGTTTGTCTGCATAATACTGTTCTGAATTTCATTTTATTTATTTCTAAATTTGTGTAGATTTGGCCATTAAAGATGCTTTATTTTTTACCAAATAACTGGTAATATACTCTTAAGAAAACAGTGATTGTTTTATCAATGATCTGCCCTAAATACTATATTGCAAGAGCTGGCATGTCTCATGATGTGTAAGTAATACAAACACACTCAGGTTTTTTGAGGAGGAATGTTAACTTGTTGAGGAATGTTAATTAACAGCAAATTTTGAAAAACTTAAACTGTGTAGAATCAGGACTGAATGCTACCTATACTGAAATTTCTTCAGAAGATGGTTGTAGTGCGTTGTGACTGAATAGTGGAATGAGAAGTTCCATGACTATTTTCTCAGACAAAATCTTCTTTTTTTTAGGACTCTGGAGTGAATATGATTCAGGAAGCCGTGAGTAAACTGTCAGTTGTTTGCTAATATCACATGCTCTTTCTGAATACCGGGACAGACACTTGATCTTAATGATGGCATTGAGATATTCAAGATTACACCGTGTCCTCTGAAAAACAATACGAGTTCTAGTGGGTGAGTCAAACAAGGTGTACACATTTCCTTCCCTCTTGATCCCTTTCCAACAAGAATATTATACCGCACTGTTTATCTTGAGTGTTTAAAGGACCCAGGTGAAATTTCTCATGTGCTGAATAACTCTCAGGAAGTACCGGGACTAAAACAGGCATTTTTTTGGGGGGGGGGGTTTCCACTAACAGAACCCAACATTTCTCTATACTTACCCTTTTCATTCAGCGATTCAAAAACCAGGGAGCTTTGGCAGTTCACATGAATGGACATGCACGCTTTAGACTTGTACATTTTCCAATTAAGAAATCCACCTTTTATGGGCAAAACTTTGTGTCCTGCCACTTAGCTGCATGGACCCTCGACTGCTCCCAGTGAGGGGAGAGGGGGGAGAGGGTCCATATCTCAGTTCCCTTCCTGCTCCATCAGAGCAGCAGAGACATATGACAAAAATCACCAGACATATTTCACTCTGTGCTCTCATACTGTACATACAGGAGGAGACAGGAGTAAAGTGCAGAACCTCAGCATAAGAATATGCACTTTCTTGACAGATTTGATGTAGAATCTTGCAGGATAATGGCGAACAGCCCAGGGGCTGGTCTAAAACACCAGCAGCAGGCTCATTGGTCAAATGAGACTTCTACATAGTCCTTAACTGCACTCTGAATTTTTAAGTGGATAAAATTGCCATGCATTCCTTTCAAAGTTTGAATTCCTTTCCAAAAAGGTGTTCGTCATTATTGAGAGTGACTTTGTTTAATCTTTCACATCAGTACCATTACTCAATCTTCATCGATTTTTTTTTTTTTTTTTTTTAAAATCTGAATTGATTCAATAAGTGAATGAAAAAAACCCTTTCTTTTTAAAATATTGTTTTTGAATTTCTCACCTCTTTTATATAATTGAGTGGCTGTCTTTACTGGAAAAAGTTTTGAAGCACCTTAGGTATTTTCAATCAGTGTTAGTCTTATAAGAGAACAGCACTAATTTTACCCATCCTTTTCATATGGAAAACTCTACTGAGACACAGGTTTTTCTCCTTTTTATTATCTCAGCCCTCCTTCAAGACATGGACAGCTGGAGTGAGGTTTCTTTCTCAAGTTTACTATCTCCCTTCATTCAAACATATAAATCGAAACACTTGGCAGTTTGTAACAGAAGAGTGGAACAGAAGTGGAAATGGGTTAGCTGTGACATGCAGGACTGGGGAGGGGAGATTGCAAGGTGAGAGGAGTGAGGCTTGAGCCAGGAGCCTGCATCCCTTCTTCTACCTCTGCGTGAAGATTGCCAATTTATTCTAGAAGTGAGAGGTAGATGGGTGGCTGGGGAGGACTGTTTTGGACTGTCTCAGAAAGACGCCTTAGAGTGCCAGGCTCTTGATTTTTGTTGCCCCTTGAATCCTTCTGTAAGCAGCCATGAGTATTTACACAGGCCCTGTCTTCATCCAGGTCAGAAGGGAAGGAATCCAGCAGGAGAGGAGCTCTCATCCGAGGCACTGTAGTGCAGCAGAAGTGTATGGAAAAGGCTGACCACTTTAAAGGTCTTGTAAAGCTGAATGTAAAATAATCAAAATATCAAGCAAGCAAGCTAAATTTATTTTCATTTTTTTTTGCTTCTTTTAATAATTTTATTTTCTATATACAATTTTTTGCAACTGGCAGTTTCACAATTCAGTAGTCTTCCTTGAGAAGATATTGCAAAACTGGTATCTTCAGTTACATTTGTGTCTAGAAACGCTGCTATGGGTGTCTCTGGGTCCCATGTCTTTCATAACAGGGCAATTATGTGTTAATGGCATATAAAATCTCTTTGTTACTGGTAGATGGGGAAAAAAAACCTGTGTAAATACTGAGTAATTTATTAATAATCCTCCTTTCTAGCTATTTACCTGTTGGTGACAATTTTAATTAGCTGTTGTCAGCAATTCAGAAAAAGAAATCATAAACCCCTTATGCAAATTGATGGTCCCTCCCTGCAAGGTACCGAGTGCCTTGTCATGTCAGTAACCTCAGTCGTTCTTGAGGCCACTGCAGGAGCCAATCCAGGATTAACAGACAAATTGCAAACACGGATGCTAAAGAGTAGCAAAATCACCTGATGGTTTAGCTTCTACAGTAACATTCCCCAGGAATGCAGAAAGGCTGTATACCCACGGCACTGAATGGCTTTTTCAGAGGTCTTCTCTTTTCTTCATGATAATCTGCCTGATCAATGATGTTACTTCTGGTTTGATACTTTCTATTGGCTCTTCGGGTCTCCAGAATTTCACAACTTTACCCTCAGGGCTGACAAGGTACTTCCAGAAATTCCATCGAGGCTCTTTCTTTGAAGAATCTGTAAGGATGAAATCAGATAAATTTAGTGACTTACACCTGAATTGTCTCCAGGCCCTGCACTGTTTCTTTGACTATTTATGCTGAAGTAATCCCACCATATTCTTTGCTGGTAGTCTGGCATAGATTTTTACTGATTGCTGCTAAAGATCTGAAAATGTGGAAGTCAATGATGCTCCCCCCTTCCTACGAATAGTTACTAGGGAAGATGATAAAAGGGCATACTTATTCAGAGAATCCCCAGTGTTATGTTAGTTTTGGGAAGTGACATGGGAGCAGGAAGTTGTACTGGTGATGGCTTAATTAGGCTGCTTTCACAAAAAGCTTCAGTAGATTTTGACTGAAGAACAAGTGTTTGGTTGGGAATGGTGCTGAACTCTAAACTTATTTTTTTAAGCAATGGATTGAAGTTTGGTACTGCACTCATGCTGCAAGTGGATTACTTTTACACTAGATTATTGGACAGTGCTGTTGCCATCCTGTTGCTAGCAGTCACAGGCAGAAAAGGGTGGTATAGCATGATGGTCAGCCTTCTGACTGTCAAAACAGCAACATGAAGAAAACAGGTACTTTAACTGATAATGCTCAAGAATTTAATGTGAAACACAGGAATGCAGGAAGATGAAAACTTTACTTCAGAATACTGAAGTACCAAAGGGTCTTTCTCCTTCTTGTGGATGAACAGCACCTCAAATAAGAGAATGTTGAACAAATTTTTTTTCTTTATAGGTATCAATGTTTAACACTGATGGCACTGATATTTAGAATCTGAATTCATCACACACAGCGGGTGCCTTTGTGCTCTAGTCTTTTCTATAAAGAACTGAGAGAAAACACTCAAGAATTCCACTGGACATCTGGCAACTCAGAGTGACAAAGTTACCTGATGTTTTTAGTAGCATGCCTAAGAGGAGGTAGGGACAAACACAGTTACAATGGCAATGGTGACCACTTAAATGATTCCTCAATAAAAACAATTTTGAAATACATAGGAGGTATCATAGCAGATATGGCACATAAGTGTTCTGGGAAAGATTTCATTTAGGTACTGAAATAGTTTCCTCACAAGAGGCACTATCAGATAATGAAATAGACTCTGAAGGCAAGGAAATGGAATGCAGGTTTGGGCTTTCTACTACTTTATTTTCTGGATAAAATGGTGTGTTAGAAAAGGGTTATGTCTAAGCTATTTTTTCTTTCATAAATCAATATGGTTCAAAACCTGGTCAAAGCTCAGGAAAGTTCAGAGGGGCTTTTCAAGTTGGCTTTCAGTCTATGAGATCTTTGGTCAACTGAAGAGAGAGAGATTTTCATTTTTCTTATGAGAATATGAGGTTCCAAGCCTGTAAATTCTCTCTGTATTCATGCAGGATTTTGCAGGCTAGGCCCTGAAGTTCACATGACAAATTAATAAAAAATCAGTGGTTTTATAGAACTAGTTTGTGTAAACCTGTTTTATTATATAGTTTACATAAAGGTGGTCATAGGACCCAGCTAAAAATCTCATCTGCATGTGTTTATTTAAAATCTTCCAGTAATTTTATGACCCCCATAACTATATTTTTGTCCATAAGAAAGGTCTTTTTTAAAATAAAAATCAAATACTTTGGAATGGGATTTTGTAGGTGGGCTTTTCTAGCGCTAGCATTTCTAACAAAATTAATATTTCCAGCTGGGGCTGGTCAGAGTACCCTGTTTTCATAAGCAGTGAGTAGGAACTGATGTTTTCAGGATAAAATTGTTTTGTCCATATTTTTGAATATCCAAATTAAAACGGAAGTAATTGTATGCTAAGTGCCTGTGCTTCTCCATAGACTTCCATGTTTCCTCGCAAAAACATGTACCCTGGATTCAATGAGAGTACCATGGTTACAGGCAGCTTGATACATAAAAGAAAACAATTACCTATTAGAAATTTAAAGGCGGGATCTGCTTCTGATCCTAGGATCTTGATTTTGTGGAAAACAGGGAATGTTACTCCATAGTTTCCTTTGGCAAAAGATTCTATTTCCTGGCTTGAACTAGGCTCTGATTCTCCGAACTGGTTGCAGGGAAACGCCAGCACAGTGAAGTGGGAGGGACCAAACTCTCTGTGCAGCTCTTGCAGTGCGATGTAATTTTTGTCTGTGTATTGGCAGTAACTGGCCACGTTTACAACCAAAGTTGCCTTCAGAAAAAAAAGTTAGAACAGTAAAGAAAAAAACATAGATGTTGTAGAGGTCACAATTAAATCTTAAAATGGCATTTCTCATTGTCGTGATGGCTCCTGTTGGAAGGCTAAACTTAATCTGTCTGATCATCATTTCATTAAACAGATAAAGATGAAAACAGCTGAGGATATTTACCTTCAGATAATATGCTGTAAAAATACAGTAAACCGATAAACTTCATCTCACAGCTTTGTTTAAATATAAGCATTTAAAAAAGCAGACACACTTTTTAGCAGACAGCTAGACATTTAGGATATGCACTAAAATCGTATTTACTAGATAAACTTCCAAAATCCAAAACAAACATTCCTAAGATTAAAATCCACTAATGTGCCTGTTAGGCTGTATTGATCTATGTTAAATAATATAATTTATTTTCTTGATTTACTGGATCTAATACTTGATTCCTGGAATTGGCCTAGATAAAATAAATTTTCTCCAGCTTACTGTATTAAGAACAGAAATTTAGCACAAATCGCTGCCAAAAGCTCCCATAACCAAACCTTTTGTTTACCTAGAAACGTACACGTTTTTTGTCTGTACGGATTCAAGACGGAAAAAGCGAAATAATAACTTACTTTCCCTCTGTACTTCTCCAAGGAAATGATCCTTCCTCGTGAATCCTTGACTTCAAAAGAATAAAAATCTTTGATTTTAGGTTTAAAAAACCTGAGTTGCAGCAGGCAGAGAATGGTGGTGCACAAAGCCATTGACAGGAAGACAACAAAGACCCTGGCTTTGGGCACCGAGTATTTCAGAGCACAACTAGCTGTGAGGGGCTCCATTTCTGAAACCTTTGGAGCGGAGCCTGGGCAGGCCTGGAATGTGAAGGAGGAGCTGAAACATGAGACTCTCAGCCCAGACCGGAAAGAGCAAGCTGCTCATTTTTTAGCTGTTGCAAACCAGCTACAAATCACAGTGCCTGCCGGGCTTCCGAGCTCTCGTGTAAAGCACCGGGATCTTTTGGGGGGAAGGGACGGGGAGAAGAAATGGATGAAAAGGGTGTAAATATCACCTAGGGGGGCTGGTAGCCCTGTCCAAGTGACGTGTGTGGGATACTCCAGGGGGTGTCCGCGCTGCCTTGAGAGCTGCCGGCGTCAAGAGTGAGTTTGTAGCGCAGCTCCAGCGCATCCCTGGGCTCCCCAGATGCATCTGGCGGAGTTGCATAGAAGAAGGCAGCTGTGTTATCAGGCAGGCTTGGAGAAGCAGTTTGGGGGACAGCTGTTCAGGTAGAAAAAAGGCAGGATGGCTGAAACTGTCCTGTTCACAAACTCAGCCCTGCATCTGATCAGCTGCTGTGGGTTCACGAGCAGCTGTGTAAAACTTTTTTTAGCACATGGAGCAGAGGAAAACTCCTTGGTAATAGGCTGTCATAAAGAAAGATAATATCATGTGGGTGGGTTTGTTTTTTGTTTTTTTTTTTCCCAATAAGAATGGGGATGATAATGGAAAATCTGTTGCTTTCTTAATTGCTACTGGCTACCTGGCAACGAGCTGCACTGAGATGGTAAGATTGAAGGTCTGCACGAAAGAAGAATTAACTGAGAGTCTCAGGCATAAGCCAAGCTCCAGTGGAGTTCTGCTGCTTGCGAATCTCTGCTTACTCTCTTTCCCTCCCTGTGCAAAACACCATTGAAGAGTCATTTCTGTCCCAGTTGGTTTTCTTTGTCATCCTGGTATTTTGTTGCACTTAAATGATGTGTTTTAAAGGATGGAAATAGAAGGTGCCTTTCTGAATATAATACCTGGAATCTGGTTGTTCGTTCCTTTTTAGTGACTTCAGTATTGCTACCGTTATCATCGATTTGTGCAATATCATAGTGATATGTCCAACTCTTTCTTATAATCACTAAATCCACATTCATTTTGTTTAACAAGACTAGAGAAACAGTTTCACACCGTTCTACATAACAGAGAGATGCTTGGGAAACTGTGAAATTTTATTATTTGTATCTGAGGGCAGATTAGGCTTTCCCTCTGCCTGGCAGTGAGGCCTGTGAGCATGGTGTTTTGATGGTGGGGAAGAAAACACACAGACTTCTGTGCTGAAATGAACAAAGCTACCCAACAAGCAAGCACAGGTGACTAATGCTGACCTTAAAGGCAAGAACAAATGTGTTTGGTTACAGAAAATCTATGCAACATCCTGATGTCTAAGCTACATCTCAAGTGTTTGCAATTTGCTTCTAATATTACTTCAGAACTAAATAAAACAAACAATCAAAACTTAATATATTGTAATACTGCTGTACCTAATGATTACCCTGAAGCCCATTATATTAGCTCTGTCTCCTTTTGTTACTCTCAACTAAAACCTTGATCAAAAACTGTCTTGAAAACAGAATACATTGTTTAATATTGTCTGGGCTCTTATGTTTTAAGGTGTGATAGTTTTTCAGGTTTTATGGCTTTCTGACACAAATTACTGTATAAATGAATTTGAACTAATGCAAATTAAAAAAACAATTTAATCTTTACTTAGTATCCCTTAATATATTAAAAAGTACAAGATAACATTAAAAATAATGACACGGGTAAACTGCAGTGGTGGTGAGAAGGTTCAGAAATCAGAAGATATCTAAGTCCTTTTCCAGGTATCAGAGATCAGAGGACCTGCTGGTTCCAGACAGAAGACAGGTGGGTTTGCCCAGTGTCTGTCTCTCAGGAACCACCAGACCCCTAAACCTACTCCACTATGTGGCTGAAGGTTCCTTGGGTCCTTGAAAGCCAGTGATGTAGCGTTAATGTACGAGTGACACAAATCTAGATTTGTTTTGTTTTGTTCCTCCCTCCCGCCCAGCAACAGGCTTTCTGTACCAGCGTCGATTCAGCTTATCCTAACAGAAGCGTGTGTTCTGCACTGTTTTCCCCCGTCTGCTTCCCCTTTCTTCCCGCGTTTGGCCGTGGGCCGGAGCCGTGCTCAGCCCAGCACCCGCGGCTGCTGCCCTTCGGCAAGGGCACGGCAGAGCTAAAGCCAGCGCCAAGGAGGCTGGCATTCAGCCTTGTCTGCGGTGCTCGGTGTGCCGTGGCCGTGCAGGGATGGGCAGGCAGGCATTCAGCCATGTCTGCTGTGCTCGGTGTGCCGTGGCCGTGCAGCGGCAGGCTCGGAGCGGACAGGCTGCGGTGAAGCGCTCCGTGCCGCGGCAGCGCTGCCGGCACACGATGGCAGCAGCACCGGGCCAGCACCACAGAAACACATCCCTGTGGAGAGAGGACAGCAGCCGGCAGGGATTTCTGAAACAGCCTGCAGCAAGGAATTTGTGCCAGGTGAGTGCCGGTGCTTCCCTGCCGGGGCTTCGGCGGTGCAGAGCCGCACCTCCAGGACAGCATCCTTTCATTTTATTTACACCGAAGTACTGGAGCAAGTCCAGAGGAGGGTAACAGAGCTTCTGATGGGTCTGCAGCACCAGTGCTGTGAGGAGCAGCTGAGGGAGCTGGGGGTGTTTATCCCAGAGAAAAGGAGGCTCAGAGGAGACATCACTCTCTGCAAAAGGAGGTTGCGGCCAGGTGGGGGTCAGTCTCTTCTTCCAGGCAACCATGGCAGGACAAGAAGAAATGGCCTCAAATCATTAGGTTTAGGTTGGTCATTAGAAGGAATTACTTCACAGAAATGGTGATTAGACACAGGAATGGGCTGTCCAGGGAGGTAGTGGAGGCACTGTCCCTGGAGGTGTTTTAACAAAGACTGGGCATGGCACTTAGTACCATGGCCTATTGAAATGGTGGTGTTATCTTACAGGACTTGATGATCCCAGAGGTCTTTTCCAGCCGAACTGATTCTGTGATTTTCTCACTGGAGCGTGCTGCTGTCGTGAAAAGAAAGCTGTGCCCGCAATTCCCCTTCCCAGTGTGCAGACAGCTTAGGGCAGCAGGCCCTGAGACAGATGACACTGAGTGGGGTGAAAGGAAAGAGGAAGAAATGGATCTCATCCCTAGCCAAGCAGTGCCAGTGGCAGACTAGCCTTTTTTTGCTCTGTGATGTGGGACACACAGGAATGGATTTAAGTTTCACTGGGCTGCAAGAGGGCACAGGGTCTGTACCAGCTCCTTCATGTATGGAAAAGTCATCAACAACAGACGAAAGGACAGGAGAGCTCGTAAAGACATCTCTCATTTGCTTCTTTCTGCTTCTCCTTTACTGTATGAGCAGCTTCTGCAGATCCAGCTATAAATGCAGAACTGGGATCAGTCTGCAGGCCTGGATTTGGTGTGGTCACTCATATACCTCAGGCTTCACGTATTGATAAAGGGACACCGCCCAGGGGACACCCGCGCTCTACTCACCTTAGAGGAGATCTACTGGAGGGCCATTCAGATTGCAGACCGAACTTCCAGTACCGAGTGGGTCCGGAGGAGAGATGATTCTAAGGGAGGCTGTTTCTCTCCATCAGCAACAGAGGGAGCTGGTGAAACGTCGAATGAACTTTGAGAGTGCTGACTCCTGCTTCCAGCAGTGCTAAGGGAAAGTGGGGAAGGGTTTTTGCATGCTGCGTGTCCGCGAAGGACTTCCTGGAAGATGTAGGGAACTTTACACAGTTGACTTCTTGATTAATAATTGAAATATTTAGAAAATGAATAAAAGATTCCCCTGAGTGTTCTGGATATGCTCCCATGATTATGGTCAGAAAGTGCAATTCCATTTTCTACTAAGGAGAATATCAGAGCTCTTCAGCATGCTCAGGTCTAGGCAACTCTGGCTCTAAAACAGTCCGAAGTCTTTCCATTTTCAGTTTCTAGAACAGAAAATTCTACATGCTGCCTCTACAAGCAGTGGTGAAAGCCTGTGTGATTCTGGGAAATCAGATGTAATTTTCTAACAAGAAGGATTCTCTGTAACTAGTCAATAAACCTGAGGCTGAACATGAGCTGCAGTAGTTAGCAAGCATTCTTTACTAAGGGAATGATCAGTCTGATCCTGTTTAGACATCTCTTTTAGGATAAGATGAATGGTGCTGTAGAAATGTATCCTTTTCTTCAGCAGGAAAAGGAAAGCAGGGTTACTGCTCCAAATGTCAGTATTTGCACTGACACACTCAGTGTGCAGATCTGCTTTCTGAGTACTGCCCTTAGATCACCACTGCTATTCTAAAAAGTACTTGACAGATGGTCCCATGCACGCTTTTAAAAGGATTTTTTTCCATTAAAACTATTTTTCCAGTAACACCTCAGATGCCTAAGAAACTCCGTCATGAAAACTACTCAGCAGTCATGCTGCAACAGCTTTGGAACGAAGGAAAAACAGGAGAGTTGAAACAGAGAAGTAATAGGTGAGTTATGCTGTATTCAAATGCACAGACAGGATATTTGCTTTTTTGATGTGTTTTTTTACCTTGTCTTTGGCCTGGAATCAGTTATGAGAATACTACCTTATTGACACAGATAACAATAACAAGAGAAGGTCCATTTAGGAAATGTCTGCTGGAGAAAAGTAATTTTGTCATTTTTTGTCTTTTTTTTTGTCATTTATTTGATTCAGCTTTTTTTCTTCTTTCTCTAGGCTACTATCCTGTAAACTAAAATCAAAACTAAACAAATGAAGCCCCCAAGATGGGTTTGTTACCTTTGAGGTAAAGCATGTATTGTAAGAAATATGCATGAAGAACATGAATGACTCAGTTTTCCATCTGCTTTAATAAGCACTGTGGTGAAGAAGATAATTGCTTCAGTTCTTCAGGATGTAGCTGATGATTTTGTCCAGTAGATAGAATGAGGTGCTATGAAAAAATTACCAAAGAGCTATCAAAAAGTTCCTTTCTGAGAATGTTGTTGTGAAAATAGGTTGTCAGATTTTGATCAAAGTTGAAAGAACTCAAGGAATCTGCCTAACATATGAAAAAACGACTTCAGAACACTTCCTGTTTAAGGGCTATTTTCTATTGTTATATATTTTATCAGTTTATTCTTCATAGTGAGCACTGACACACCATTTTTTTATTTTTTAGGCATTATCCATACCTTTTTGGACCATAAATCTATGCTTCAGCTACCCATCTTCATTAGTGATGAACTTTCTCTTCACTAGAAAATTGACTTCTTCTGTTAAGCATTGGTACACATGTTAGAAACTCTATTACCATAATATGACACTGAAAACCTCTTCTCTGCTTTACTTCTATTTCCTTGTGACTGTTCATATATTAAGTTGGAACTTTTTAGTCAGTGATTACAGTTTCTCCTCTTCTCTCCTTCCGTGGATTGTGCCAGTTCCAAAGTTGATATGAAGATGTTAAGAGTTGTTTTCATATCATTATCTCTTGGACCATAATTATTGAGTAAGCTTGCTTCTGCAATGCATACCTAATGTCTATTTTATAGCATTTTATAAGTCTTAGTTTATATTATGGGCAAGTTTCTGTGAGGGTAATAAGCTGAATTTCTAACAGAAGGAAGTGATACCAGCACTGGTGGACTAATCAGGCTTGCTGCCTGATGCTTTGTAATAGTGGTACTCTGGAATATCCCCGGATATTGGAAAGAGACCACGCTTTTACACCATTCCGGGAAACATAATTCTTGGGACAATCACTTAATTTTCTTAACAAATGAACTAGTCTTGGAAATCTTCCTTTCAACAAGAAACAGTGCTTTCTTTCTTCCTACCCCCCATCAACTGATTGGAGAGTTAATACATTTTAGAACTCTTAAAATACCGCAATTTTTTAATAGTCTTAGATCTAGCCAGCAGAGAAATTGACTGTAACTGCTCTTTTTTGGTGAGATGATAAGCACTTCTATGAAGTAATGTGCAGAAAAAATTTTTTTTCTGATAATGGAACATCTTTTAGAAGATGAATACATGTTGTTCTGTTCAAATGGAGTCATAGAATGATTTGAATTGGATGGACATTTAAATATCATCTAGTCTAAACCCCCTGCAATGCCAGGGACATTTTCAACTAGATCAAGTTGCTCAGAGCTCTGTCCAACTGGGCCTTGAGTGTTTTCAATGGGATATCCATCACCTTTTCAGGAAACATATTGCACTTCTTCACCCTCATTGTAAAAAAATCTCTTCCTTATACCTAGTATCAACCTCCCCTCCTTTAATTTAAAACCATTACCTCTTGTCCCATCACAACAAGCCCTGCTGAAATGTCTGTGCTTCTCTTTCTTATCAGCCCCCTGTAAGTGTTGAAAGGTTACAATAAGGGCTCCTCAGAGCCTTCTCTCCTTCAAGCTGAGCAGACACATCTCTCTCACCCTTTCCTCAGAGAAGAGTGCTCCAGCCATCTGACCACTTTTCCAGGTCTGCTCTGGACCCACTCCAACAGGTCTTTCTTGTGTTGAAGGCCCCAGAGCTGGACACAGCTTTCCAGGTGTGATCTCACTGGAGTGGAACAGAGAGGCAGAATCACCTCCCTTAATTTGCTGGCCACAGTTTTTGGGCAGCCCAGGATATAATTGGTTTTCTGGACTATAAGTTCCCATTTCCAGCTCATGTCCAGCTTTTCATCCATTGGTGCCCCCAAAACCTTCTGGGCAGGGCTGCTCTCAATCTGTTCATCCCCCAGCCTGCGTTGACACTGGAGGTTGCTCTGAGCCATGTGCAGTGCCTTGAACTTGGCCTTACTGAACCTCATGAAGTTCATGTGGATTCTATGTAAACCTAGATTTTTACTGGAACTTACAAGTAGAAGCTGAGTTAGAGCAAATATATTAAGAGTTCTAGATTCAGGACTACAACAATTTCCTCAATCTTAATATGGGTATCTTTTCAATACATTGTGGGGTGACTAAAACCTAAGTTATTCCTAAAACCATTTGAAAGTCAGTCCTGGCTAAACCCATATGAAAATCTACTTATCTTCTTAGATAAATGAGCATTTGATTCATGCAGCCTGTGTAAAGGAATGGGATCTGTTGAGAATAGAATCTTCTCACAAACCAGTAAATGTGTGTGGTCTCTCTGTGGGCCAAGACATTACTTCTTTGTATACATAATCAATTTCCAAAGAAATGTCTACACTAATTTTAGAGGGACACATACCCAAGCAATGTGATTAGCTTTCTGCCAAGTTGTCTGTATAAATCATACAGAAAATATCTTTCAAAGCTGAAGGTCTGCTGTAGAACAGCTGGAACGTATAAAGGAGAAACACTTCTATTTTACAGCTGTGTTTTTCTAAGAGATTTTTTGTCATGATTGCAGCAGGATTTTGAAGAAGAGTAACACAGACTGTGCATGGCAGATTTCACAGACATTGGAGAGAAAGAATTCACTAATCTTGAGTGACTGATAAAAATATCCGCTGCATTTCCACATTACTATATATAAAGAATTACAAAACAAACAGAAAATTGGCACCAGAGCATTCTTCTCAATGACCATTGTGAAGAAATGCATATTACTAGGAATTGATGAAGATATTCCTGTCCTGTGTGAGCTGATCTGAGCCTTTGAATCTTGGTTAAGGATCTAATAATTCAGATGTCCCTTTCCTTAATTTTTGCTGCATCATGTCTTTCTTTCATACCCAAGGAAATGCTAATGCAATTTTTAAGATGGTATTCCTCAGGAATAGCCTGTAACTATTTTCCGCTTTATATTGTAGCACTGGTTTAGGGAAAGGGATAATGGAGTCCAGTGTCTGTGATCCTGGTTTGAGGAAGGGCTCTGACATCCAGGGTGTGCCATGCTGTAATCAATGGCCCTGCAATGCATGTGCCACAGAACTGCTCTTCCCTCAGAGATACTTATTGACAGCACCCAGGAAATGTCTTTGCAAGCTGGTAACATCAGTCCAAATGCCAATTCAGACGAGAGCAAGAGGTCACTAAGGTTTGACAGGTGACCCAGGTAATAACTCCAGATCTACAGGTTTGGACCTTCTTCCACTGCTAAGGTGGCCTTGTTCAAATAGCTTTGTTGAAGTGTGTGTGATCATTAACAGTGAATCTGTGTTTTATGGGAGGAAAAATGTCTCAGGTCTCTCAAGTTAGAGCAATATGATTTGGACATGATTTGATATTCTGTATTTGTTATTTATTTCCCATCCCAGAGACAGGCTGTTTTGAGGCTTTTATGTAATGATTGTTGAATCCTTTGATGGGATTGGTGTTATCCACAATATTTAAATGTTTTTCAACTGTCTTCTTAATTCAGTCATATTTTCACATCAGCTTAGCTTCCAATGGTCTCAGAGGCTGGATATAGCATTGCAGAAATTGGTGATGTGAAGGTCTGGGAAAATACTAGTAGTATCTGGAAAGGTATGTTCCAATATTGCTGGAGTCAGTAAGTTAGGAGTCTCTGATTTCTTCAGAAAGAAATCAGAATGCAGGGATTGAGTTGAAACCTTTAGATAGATTGAAGTATATTAAGCCTCTCACTTATGAGGCAGAGGTGAAGATTTAGGCTGTAACATAAGAAAAAGAAAATAAGTAACTAAATGGAATAAGTTTTAAGTGCTTTTATGAGTAAAAGGTCTTAGATGCCTGAGAAGTAGTACATGTTCTAGTGAAGGTTGAAAAACATGCTCGTGTTTTCTTAGAGGCTCCAAGAACCTAGCTTCAGACATAATAGAGTTAGAGTTAAGAATATTGCTTACATTTTTCAATTAGAACAAGATAGGCCATGAAGGTAGTCTATACATAGCCTGGTGTGTTAAGAAACCAGAATTCGAATAGGTTAAGGAATAGTGGTTCGAGTTTGTGTCTTAGCTAGTTGGAAACTTTCTATAAAAGAACATGCATCAGGGAGAGCTGGTGCTCTATGCCATGGCTTTATGCCATGTGCATTTTGCCATTGCATTTTGCCACTGCAGCTTTGTCATTACTTTTAGCCATTGCTTTGCCTTTCTTTGTATTTGCTTTTGAGACTGATGTGCTTCTGCAATAAATAACTTCATAGCAACTATTAGCTGCTTTGCTTTTTACATAAAAGAAGAAGTAGCTCGGCAGTGTGGGTGCACAGGAGGCACCCTGAGGTCCTCTGGAACCTCGCACAATATAGCAAACATTTTCAGGCACACTGAAAAATAAGATGCTACAGTCTTCATCTACACTGGAAAAACAAATGCTTCTGCCTCTTCCAATAAGTGTTACAGATTAATACAAAGTGGCTGAGAGCTACCTGCCCAGAGCTGTTTCTAGAGTTCCCACAACCTCTGAACAGAGAATATTGCAGCTCTTTGAGTGTGGTTAAGTCCTAGTATTTTACCTGTTTCTCCTTTGGCTCCCATCTGATGCACTGGTGTCCCTAAAACATTAATTTCCTTTCAGCTTTTCAGTTTCAGAATGCTACAAAAGTGTAGGGTTGTGCTGTGGAATGGGCAGGGAATATGTACTATGTGCACTGTTGTGTACATGACAGTGCCGGGCATGCAGAGATAGTGGAGTTTTGTTGCTCTTGTCTGTAGAGAAAGGTCAAACTTTTCCTAGCACTGCTGCTGGTTTAATCTGTGGGGGAGTTGATTAATTTGCTACATAAAATATCCTTTGAATGAATCAGGCATCAGGGAGTGTGAATGATCAAGTGATTTGAAAACAGGGAATCTGAAGAGATAACCTGTGAAATTATACAGGCATTCCCATACTTATTTGAGTGTGAGACAGTTCATTAAATATCAGATTAATATTTTGGTGTCTTCTGTCTTGGACAGATGATTTCTTTTGGTGCTCTGGCCATTTTTCTTTATGAATCTGGATTTCACCCCCTGTACAAGAAGTTGGGGTTTATGTGATAGACTTGTGTTTTCTTTCATTGCTTTCCTCAGTGCAAATGAGCCTAATTTCAGAGCAGTAAATAGCAACAGTATAGGGATAAATCACACATTTTTTTCCCTTGATGACAAATAAATATATGCTTTAAGAATACCAGGTTTGATGCCACTCACCAGTTTGTTAATTGAATAGTTTGATGGGACAGTACTGACGAGTTAATCACTTCCTAAGTCTCATTTTGAGAATTGACACAGGCATGTGACAGCCAAAATCTTATCAAAAGTCAGTGATATTCACCAGTATCCAGGCAAAATAACAAACCAGCACAATGAAATTTAACTTCCACTAAGAAAAAAGCCTGCTATGTATATTCATGCGCCCATGAAGTAGGTGAATAGAGCTGGAAGGGTAATCGTTATGATTTGGGGTAGATGAATTACTCACAAGAGAAAAAATCCTGAAATGAGTTAGAGATGATTTTGTCCCTTACTGTCTCAATGCATAGTACCAGCTACCAATGTTAAAGAAGGAAATTATATACAGAGTTTCAGAAGTGTTGCCATTCATTGAATGTTACAATTAAGTGTCTTAATTTTCTTGAACTATCTTGCTTGACAGGATTCAGAAAAGCATTGTAAAATTTTCAAAAGTAGTGAAAAATCTAGATATTAGAAATAACTGTATTTTTTTCTGTATTGCCAATTCTCATTTTAGGAATGTTAGACCTTTTTAGGGTTAAAATGCAGTGTTACAAATCCCATTGTACGGATCGGAGGTCATTCCTGAAAACCTTTATTGTTCAACTCCACAAAATTTTAGACAGAGAAGAAAATAGCTGTAATCTACTTGCTCATCTTCAGAGAGAAGGTGAGAGGGGAAATATTTGCTCTGTTAAATTGAGTTTTGGAATAGAGGAGAAGGTTAAAGACAGTGTATGGAAGGGATGAATGATATAAGTTTTCCACAACAGTCATTAAAATTTTATATAGGATGCGTAAGTGTATACTCACAGATTACAAATACTTTATCAGTATTGAATTCTTTTTTGAACAAGAGAGGTTAGCTGAAGAGATAAATATAATCTTCTGCCCTTGAAACTTTTAGGACTCATTGTAATTATGACTCTCTGGGGAATAATTTGAAGAAGGAAATTAAGACACTGCGAAAATTGCAAAAATGTGTATCTTCAGCATTCTGCTCTGCACACTATAGCAATATAATTTTTTTATACATAAAAATCTAACATTAAATGATTCAAAATGCTGGCTTTTTTTTATAGTGCTGAGGAGTCTTTGCAGCCTAATATAGACAATGACCACAAAAGATGACTCTTTCTCACACTTGCATAGGCTTTTGTTTCTCGTTAATGCTCTGTCGTGAGCTTAATGTGGTGTGATTAAAGACAGTGTGTTTTAAAAACCTTTTCCTGTGGTTAGGTGTCAGTGGGGTAGATATTTGGGGGAGAAATAAACACCAGACAGTAAAAGAATTAATTACTATATAAGGGAGTTTTGGAGTGGGAGAGCACACAAATTCTGCTACTAGCAACTTCTGAAAAAAACGAAGGTAAAAAAAGAGAAAACCCACCATGCTTTACACTAAACAGTGGTATAATTTAAACAAAACATAGTGGAACCTATTCCCAGTTCTAGCTGACTGAATGCATAGAGGTTTGAAAATGCTGGTGAAATGTGGCTTTTACCTAGTCTAGTGTGTCTAGTGTTTTGAGCCTACCCAGAATAAATTACACCCTTCAAGACTTCTCTGAATTGTGTAGAGGCAAATAGAAAGGCTCAGGCCTTAGAAATATGGTGGTGTTATGCATTACTGATATGTGTGATGCATCTTCAAATACAGGATGTCAAGAGGGAACCCAAAATGAGCTTAGAAGTGTTACCACAGTGACACCATCCACACCTTTGGCGCAAGAAGTGAGACTTCATGTTACTGGCTGATGCAATGATTATTGCAAGTTAATTCCTCCAGTGTGTTGTTTTTTACACAGACTGTGTGTTTCAAGAAAGATGGTGATGTGTCCCCTTCACATAAAATGGAATCACTGCAGGATATAACTCTCATACAGTTTCCTTCAGCTATAAATCTCAATGCAACTTTCAAATCAAATAGCTCTACCTCCACTTAATTTTAATTTAAATGTTTCAGCAATCAGCTTTGGCTATCTAGTAGTCAGTAACTACAGCAGCAATTTTATTGAGTGGACTTTGAAGTATCTTAATTTGAAAGAGAGCAGTGACATCATTTGTAGTTTAGGTGATGCCTTCTAAATTCTCACTTATGTCTTTGTTGGTGAACAGGCAAAAATGAAACACAAGTTACACACAAACACACATAAATCTCAGGTCTGAAGATTCTGAGCAATTCAAAAGATCTAATAAACTATTTATGTGTATGTGTTTATAATTGTCCCTGGGAAGATTTTTTCAACATACCTTTGTGAGTGTTTATGTCCATGAACAGGATAAAGGTTTTTTGATATGATATATACTGATGATGCACAAGGTATGTCGCAAGAATGATGACATTAACAACAGTGGTCTATGGAAATGATTTCTGCTGCAACAGTCAGGTTTGTAATTAAACAAGCTGATGGATTCAACTGTTCTCCAGAGAGATTTTAATTATCAAAAAATTGTGCCAAACCTTGGATTATGGTAGCACATTCTGTGCTTCAGGGGTCTTGCAAAATAAGAATGTCCTGGCTTGGTATTAAATGTTGTACGCCATCTGCTGCTGACCTACATGACGAAACAGGGTGTTCTGAAGCTAACTATTGCAGTTATTTGCTTTGCAAGTGCAATGTGCTCAGCATCAGGGACAATGGAAGAGTACTCCCATCATACATTTACTGAGCAGGCCCTGAAGATGAGGAGCAGAACCTCCTTAATAATTTTTTGCATTTTTCCCTATCATCTGCAGGGTAAATGTTATCATTAACTCAAAGATGCTGGACAAACCGTACCATATAAGGCAGTCCTATGTCTTTCTCAGTGACAGGAATCACCTGGGAACAAAAGTATTTTTGGATCTGTATCTATTGGAGAAGGAGCCTCGTTTCTGGTGGAAGAAATTAGGGTGAGTGATGTGGCAATGTAAAGTCCAGGGCGACAGATTGAAAAATTCTAGTGGGTAAACTGTAACTCAGGTGCTGCTGTGCAAACATGCACATTTGAGGAGATTGGCTTGTCAGAGGTATTCTCCTTCATGTAAGTGGAATGCTTCCCAGTAAAGGTTTCATAGAAGAATTATCTGAATGTTTTTCCATAGTGTCTCTCCCCCAAATCATACTACCCCTTACCCCAGCTTATTATCTACTGTTTTTTTGCACTATATGTAGTAGCTTTCTTCTTGAGCTACACATGCTGGGCTGGAGCCTTGAGAATCTCATTGCTATCACTGTAGGACCTGCTGCACACATCTGGAATGAATGAACTCTTCAAGCCCTTGAAAGCATTAATTTGAATTTCAGTTCCAAACACACTTCATGTCTGGCTTGGATGAAAAAGGAATATGCCTTGCAGTTTGCACCAGTGATGAAGAAGTGCACATACTAGATAACTTACTTTTTATCAGTCTCTCTCCATTTTTAGCTAAAGTAGCTACCAAACTATTTGATACTGATTTTGTTTTAGGGAAACTAATGGAAAAGATTGACTAAACTACAGAAAAACTCTGTTAAAAACGTATGTAGCACTTCCCAGTATCATATTCCATCTTACTGGACATCCAGAATTAGCTACATGTAATGGCACGTCTGAAACAGAGAAGTTGATGACTGAATTAATGATTCAGGTTTCCAGTGACAATCAGATTATTTTTCCATCAGTAAGAGGAACTCTGATTAAATTATTTTATTCAACACAGGTTATGTTTTTCTTGTATGCCTTTTGCTAAGATCACTCTAGCAGTCAATGTCTTTAGAGTTCAATCCAAGGCTCTCCTTATAGGTTCTCATTTGGGAATTTGACTTCAGTCTGGTTACACACACATATCTGAACCTGCTGTTGTGTGACACTACTACTAATAAGAGGATTTTGTGTGACTTTAGCTAAGGTACTAGATAATAATTGGCCCTACCTGCTGCAGTCATGAGTCAGCAATCTGAAGGTACTGAAGTGCAGTGTTTCCATGAACTCATAAAGACTGACATGTAAACAAATAGCTTTAAGCTCACAGGTGTGTACTCCTTCAATTCAGTCTGACTTCTGACTGATAAAGCTGTAGAAATTTGGAAATACTCATTCACTCTTGTGAAATAAATGAGCTTGAAGTTTTCCTTATGTCAGTTCAGACTGGGGAGTGGCCAAACTTTAAACAAATGAAGGGAACAAATTTTTCTTTCTTCTTGCTGTCAAATTTTTATTTCTCGTTTGTTTTGGATTGGCAGTTGTGGAACCCTGAAACCAGAGAGAGGCTGAGAAATACGTTTGGCCACCTGTCTGTAATTTGAGCTGGAATCATTGTATTCTGAGCAGGTGAGTAGTAAAGTCTATTCCCATAAAGAGACTTGCTGCTTTTACTTAGGCAAATATCCCATTCATTTTAGCTGATTTTTTTGGCTTAATTCAAATGACATTTACCTTTTCCTGCATCTCTCACCCATCTCAGAAATCATTTGTAGATTTGTTGTACGACAGGAAAGCAGCCAAAGAGGATTTAACCTCTTTCTGCAGTCTCTGTTTCTTACTCTCCTTCCAAAAATCTGTCACCACTTGCGGAATTTCACTATGATTTGGAGACTGTGACTCTGGTTTTGTGCAAAGCCTGAGCTTGAAATTGTTTCATCTCCAGTGAGTCTGAATTTCAAAAATCATGGCCTGCCTTGTGCTGAGGAGACAGTATGTAACTTAGATGGCCTCTCCATTGATATCATTGGGATCCATCTGTCCTTTTAAATGTACAGCAAAGCACAGCTCCAAAGAGCTGCACACGCCTCTAGTTGTGTATCTGTTAGGAAAAGCCAGCTCTTTGCCATCCAGAACCCAAGAAGGGATAGAGTGGTTGACCTTTTTATTGTCAAGGGTGTATTTTATAGTAGCAGGCGAATATTTTGTATTTAGGTATCATTTCAGTATGTGGGCTCAGATGACAAAGATCAGATGTGCTCTTGTGGTTTTTTTCATACCACTTTCTGTTTCAGATCTTTGGCTCACACATGAAGGGGGTGAGGAGAGACTTGTGTATGATGAATGCTTCCCTGATTTTAAAATCATATGTTAGTGTTCTGTTTTACTTAAACTGAAAGATAATAGGAAGGGTAGGCTGACTTTATTATTAACTCAAAATTAAACAAGTATCTCTTGATAAGAATGGCAGTGGTAGATTTATTTTTGGTTTCACAAGATTCTCTGGTTGTGATTGTATGAGGTCTGCAAGGTGGAGGTACAAGGAGGTACAAGTATACCAGCTGAACAAACAGTTAATAAAATGCAGTTGCAATTATATTGTGTGGGTTAGGTTAGAAGGATGCAGGTGTAACATCCTTTCAGTGCCAAGTGGCATAACCTCACTACAGTAAGAAATAGTTTTGGTTCACATTTCCTCTTGGCCAAAGCAGTGAAAACAACAGGAACTTCAAAACAGAAATTGATGATATTATTCAGTGTGAACCTGTGAACTACAGTTATGGCTGATGCATTAGATTGAGGTAAAATTTATTTCTTTTTCTAGGTTTGAAATTGACCAGATAATTCTAATATTAGGGCAGAGTTAAAATAACTGCACAAGGAGAAAAAAGTTAATGAAGTTAATATTAATTGTTACTAAAATTAGAGCAGCATTCTTACACTAAACTTCACAGTAGAAGGTCCCAAAGTATCAATTGACTTTGGGATTGTAATTGTTGTGGTTAAAAATAGTCCAACAACAGATCATCATGAATCTGTAAATAAATTTCAGTACCATAAAGTCCATTTTACAAGCACATTTCCTACAATAAGTCAAGTTTCTGTATGCATTTTTAGTGCTTCCAAATAATGCAACATATATGTGAAAAATTTTTAAGAGCCATTGCGGGAAAGTCTCCAGTTACTAACCCGTTTAAAAATAATTAAAACCTTTAAATAAATCTATTGCAGTGATGTCAGATACCTGTTTCTCAGATACCTAGAACGATTGTATTTAACTTGCTGATTTTTTCAGTGTCATCATACCAGTTGTAAGTGTGAATTTCCATCAGGAAGCTCTTCCGATTAGTCATAGGATTAATGTAAGTAATATCCATAAAAAATACTTTGCAAGGTATTTTCAATGTTCTCAGTTCAACTCCCCTATTAATGTGTAAAAGCCATATCTAGGAGCTAAACTTTAACAGTAGCTGTATTTCCAGGCAGGGTGTTCCTTCCTGCCTTTGGTAGGCTGATGACACTGGTTGTAGAACAGTGAATCCACTTCCTAACAAGCAGCTAGTGCAACAGTGTCAAGCTGCTCAAATTTTCCTAAAGCCGTGGAGTGGGAGGGAGAAATGAGGCAAAGGAAAGGACCGAACCAAAGAATACACAGTAAGTTGCTAGAAAGCCCTCTAGCAGTACAATAGATTTTACACTACTTCTCTGTTGGGTGTGGAGTCATACCTGGCTTTGACAAAAATCACTTTGTGAAAGGATTTTTCATGAACAGGAAACAGTTTACATTAAATGGCTCAGCAGTTGAACAGAGTGTAGGTTAGTGTCACTGTGCTCACTGAGAGACAGCAGATATTCTGCCCAGAATGGAGTGGCTGCTTGGCTCCTTTCTGTGGTCAGTCACCTCCACAGTCAGGGTGTGACTTTGGAAGTTGTTCTGTGTTTCCTCCTACTGAAATGCTGTTGTTCTGCTGACACATTCCACTCTGATGTGGTTTGTTTCTGAAAAAACATTGGTGTGATGAAGTTGCTTTTAATGTTGCATTAGCATTAAACCCACGCTGCCTTTTGTCCTCTGCAGTGGTTCGCTGTTAGGATCCATCCATCACCGTGATGTTCATGTTGCTCAGCATCATGATGGGATTCTTTGTCAAAACAAAGCATTTGCAGCCTGAAATTGTCACTAGCCGACTTGTTGCTGGCAATTGGGTCTAGAGGTGGTATATTGAATATCCTAATTGAATTCCTTTCTTAGCAGTTAAAATATATGAAAAAGGCATATTGCTCAGGCAATTTTAAAAATTGTCTTACTGATGTCTATTAGTTTCTTCTGTCTGTGGAGTAATTAATTTTAAGAGCAGTTCTCTTCATAGGTAAGTTTGCTAGGGCTTTGATGTTGGATTAGTAGGCCTTTGTAAATATGTTGCCAAACAGAAAAAATATTTATCACATTTTCTTCTATGTACCTTCTCAGAAAAGTTTGGTGGTGTAATACTTACAAGTTTGCAATCAAGATATTTCAATTTTTGGAATCTTGGCAAATTACTTCTGCTGCAATTAATTTGATATATGAGGTTCCTTTTGCCCTTCTGCCCATTTTCATGTCATTGTTGGTGACAAATAATTTGACGAAGGAAATATTAAATGAAACAATTTAAGATCCTTTGTCATTATGTAGTCCCTGTCTATGTGGGAGATAGGTCAGGTAATAGGAATAAGGGGCAGGAGAGTCCAGTATTTATAAGCTGTTTATCCTCCCAAAAGTATCTGAGGCTGGACTGCAGTGCTGGGGTTAAAGGGTCGGGGAAATTTACTGAGGCAGATGGAATTGAGTTCTGAGAAGCTTTTCTTCAGGTATATTCTGGGCCTTAGGTATATCCTGGAAATACCCTGGGTGAAACCAGGTCTCTTGTAAACCCTGTAGGCCGCTTTGCTTAGACTTCTGTGATGGCTTCGCTTAGGCAGTAAGGCTTTATCCTGCTCAGTTCTTCTGGTACTGAGCTGTGAGTCTGTGGCCTCTGAAGGGCAAGCAGGGAAGCTGGAGTTTTATGAGGATATGTGGGACAGTGTAGGCTATGAAACAAGGGCAAGGGAAGCAGCATTTGAAGTTTTGGGATCCTATGCTCCCCTGAGTGTACATTCCGGGTGCTTGTTGTAGTTAATTTTAACAACTACACTTCAAGCTAGAACTCCTCTGCTCTTCCAGCTAACCTCTTAATCTATTCTGGCATCTGTTTTCTTTTTATTTTTTAGGCTATGACCTGGTGTCCTTGACAGTCAAAAGTCCTTGCTACAGGAGGCAGAATGAAAGATGGGATTTTGTGTGTCTGGCACATGAATTGTGAGAAAATCATCCAAAGTGGAATTGCAGATTTGCAGGTGAAATGATGAAATGTCTGCATACTTGGGCTATGCTCTTTTTGTATAGCTGTGCTCATTTGGCAAACTCCCACTGACTTTGAGGGTGGTTCTGCAGTAAGAGGAACAGCAGGATTTTCTCTGGATGTACAATTGTGCTACATTCAGCACTACAGTGTATGATTGAATCAGAAGGAGTTTGTTGTTTCTCATTCACCACTTCTGTCTCCATGCAGAAGTGATTAAAGAGGAGATAATCTTGAAGCCAGACACTTTTCGTCATCTTTCCTTGCTGGCAATAATAATTTTGGCTAAAATTCTAAATGAGAGCTGAAGGGGGAGAAAAAATCCCAGAGCATTGGGGTGAGGAGAGGTGTAAGAGTCAGACAGAAAACCTTTGTCTCTGGAGTTCGAATATTAGGAGACAGAGGAACAGGTTCTCAGCTGTAGTAAAGCAGCATAACTTGGTTTGCTGGAGCTATTACAGCTTAGCTGAGGATGTGTTTTGAGAGCTTTGGTGTTATACTAATAGGCTGTTACCATGTTTAGATAGGACAATAAAGCAACTGTACTTTAAAAGAGTTGAAAACAATTAAATGATCCTTCTAAATAAATAAATACTTTGCTGGGACTATTTCTTAGTAGCTTGTTTAAACATTTTGGATTAAATTTCAAATCTCTGAATGGTGTATGTTAAGACCTTCTGAGAACTGAAGCAGAGTTTTAAATTGCATTAGATTTCTTCCTTGTTCTGGTCACCCAGTGAACTGATGATGGGACAAGGTCTTCCTGGAAGTCAGATGAAAATACGGGAGTATCCCATGCTTGTCAATTAGAACACTAAGGCAAATATTTCAGTCGTTTATCTGTCAGATGAGTCTGGTTTGCAAGTGCATACTATGTAAAAAACACTAAAGAGCAGTTACCTACCCATTTGTGTTCACGTGCACAATCCTGATTTGTGGGACTGTAAAGGCTGACTTATTAAGACTATGGTATAAATTACTTCTGGGAAATGCCTTGTTTTTAATGATGGAATTCTTTTTCCTATAATTCCTAAGGCCATGTCAGGTGCAGGGTAGTATTTCCACATTTTTCAAAGGCTGACTAGGCCAGGATTGAATGTGCTAATGTCAGGTTTCTTCCAGTGAAATCTGGTTGATGACCTTCTAGACAAAACAAACCAAATGTGACAGCTTTTGCATCTCATGATATGAAGTTACTGAACCAGATTTCAAATGATGTCTAAACCAAATCCCCATGAGTTATTTAGACATGTTTGTGTTTTAATGAAGGATTTTGCTGTGAAGAAAAGCAGTGCAAAGTGTTTCCCTTGCACCCTGCTGACTACCAGACAAAGTGGAGTTTCCTTAGAGCTCTGTATTGTTCCACTGTGCTGTAGGGCTACTCTGTGTGCAGAGGTTGTTTCTTTCTACTAAGCCTCCTTGTCTCTGGTGCTATTCATGAACAAAAAAAGACCATATCATTGCTACACAGACATATTCCTGCTTATGAAGATTCCTAATAACTTACTTTAAGTAATTGAACGTTGGAAAAAATTGCGGATGTATCAAAATATGGTCAGAATAAATACTGCGATGGGTGATTGTGACTTAGATGGGTCTAAGTCAACCTCAGACACTTTTAACCATATAGGTTTTACACCCACAGAAATGATCTGACAAATTGTAACTGAATTTCACTGTTTAAGCCTCTTGAGAATGCTGAACACACCAGCTAAGAATGAAGACCCATCAGCACCAGTTGAGCACTTCAGTAATTGAGGTTGACTGTCACTTAGCATATTCAGAATTGAAAGACAGCTGAAAGATAGTAACCTTTTTGTAGCACTGAGTCTGTTTTTGAGATACTTCTGATAGAAATATTAGAGTAATTTGCTAGGAAAAAAAACTTGGCTGCAATGTCCTTTCCTTAGAAAAGTTATTGCAGATCAATAAAAACATACAGGCAAGCAAAATATGTAATTGCTTTGAAAACTACCTGACCTGAACATGCTCTTGAAACAATGAAATAAACTAAGAAAACTCCACTCAAAACCCATGTAAGTGAATAATTTCAACTTGTCTGATTTCTCCCTATTGCCCTCCACTGCTTTTTGACCTAAACTGTTAATCAAATTTCAATCAGTGTTGTGGATAGTTTTGGGTGCCTCCAAAGATTACAACTCAAGATTCTCCTTCAAAGTCATTACAGACACTGAACAGACACAGCATAAAGAATTCACTGATTTGTAAACTCTTGGTCTTAAATATTGACAAAGATTCTATACATTTCAATAACTTGAGAAGGAGCAAAGCTAGAAAACTGATCTCTGCTGAAAAAATTTAATGGTGTTGAAATTCAAGTCACAGAGTTTAAGAGGAACATATGTATCTCAGCTCCAGGAGAACAGGTATTTGCTTTTAGTCATAGTGTTCCCAGAGAGCCATCAGCTTCACAAATTAAGGTCAGACTTTCCATTGGAAGAGTCCTGTTGTCCTTCATCAAGTACCACTGTTTCAGAGGAGTTGCAGTTCCTCACATGTTTCTCCTTGTAGTATCTTGAGCTAGAGAAGTGCCATTCTCTAGTGTTCACAGGAAACTCAGGTACAAGTGATGGGAAGACACAGGTCACTCACATTCGTTTAAGCTGTCACACATGACCTCTTACTTTCATGCTTCCTTTTAGGATGTGGTTTATCTGATCTGCTTTAGAAACGATTACTCAGAAGTTTTTTGTCAGTGTGATTGTCAGTAACTCACCCAGCCAGAAAAGACAAAGTCCAGTAACTTCAAGGAAAAGGGCTTCCAACTTCTCTTGCTGCCATGTGCCTAAAAACCTCATGGGTTTTTCTGGTATTGGCACAGCAGTAGAAGATACAGGAAATATATGGCCATGCAATGAGGTAAATGCAGCTCTTGAGAGTCTCAGTTTTAGTTCCAGACTCTTTCTACCTTCAGTTCAAATTCAATGGCTGTTTGTGGGTGAGATTTTTGTACAACCACGTTAATGAGTTTTGTACATTCTTTATGCTGCTAGACTGGGTAGCTTTATGCTTTCCTTTTTGTTGTAGCTCCCAAGATTTACTAGAACTGCAGACAAACTCTAAACAATTCCACTAAATGGCTTAGTGGAGTCACTGTTAAAAGATCTCCTTAACAGCGATAACTGAGCAGCTGGAGACAGTATCTCATTATTGTTGGATCAGCTGCTGCAAACTGTTTGCAAGACCTGTGCAGCCAGATGAGAAAGCTCAGCAGTGAGAGACATTAACAAACACAGATGGGACCGATGTTGTGAATGCATGGAGAGCAATAGTTCAGGTTCAACGTGTTCCTTTGACAGAAATGCCTTCTCAAAGTGGTGCAGACAGTTAAAGCCTACTCCCTATTAAGAATATATTTCCTTCAGCTCCTTATTAATATGAAAACAGTCAATAGAGGATGATAGCTTCTCACATCCTATGCAGCACATTTCCCTGCTGCAGAAAAGTGGAACAAGCCATGGTGTGGGTGGCAAGAATGACTGGCATAATCAGTGTAGAATTCTGATGTATCCTTCCTTTTCTTTTGTACATTTTTTTTATAGGTCACAAAGGGATAGTCTTGCATATAACCCTGAGCCCAGATCAGAGTAGGCTCTTTTCTGTTGCAGAGGATGGGGTGTCTTATCTGTGAAAACAACATGGGTCTGGGGAGAGCATGCACAGCAACAAAACTTTTTGATAACAATTATTTAAGCTCATTCTTGTGACTTTTTTTCCTTGAAAACCAGTGATTAATATATTCAGCCCATTCAATAATTCAAAATATGTATCTTCCTTCCAATAGAAACATGGCAAAAGATAGTACAATTTATTTAAGAGAACAAAATTTTCTTAGCAGTCTATTATGTAAAATGTTAGTAACTTATCTTACCCTAAAGGAAAAATATTATAACTGAAGAATAATGTCATATATATTTTAAGTAAAATATGGAAGGAATTCGACCTGTGTAAAGAACCAGTATAAAGGTGTTAGGTCCTGCTTTTAGTTTTGATTCTTGAAATAAATTTTACATTATCTTAGCATCTCCATTGGTAACCACATACTAATTAATGCATATTGCCTTGAATCATTCAGAGACTGTGATGAGCAGAGACCAATTCAGGGGTCTGTATTGTTCTATGTATAACATAAATTGTCATATGGAATCTGTCTAAATACTCTTATTTAGGTTCTAGGTTAAATATGTAACTAAATTTATAGGGATTTGTTTATTGTTTTCATAATGGTAATGACAACTAGCATAATTAGGAATCCATCTTTACTGGATTTTTAATGGTTTCCTTTCCTTAAACCCACCCACTATATTTGACAATGATTGAAAAAATAAACAATTGCATAATAATTCTATTATTATGCATACTTACGTAATCAACTAATTAAGAATTCAGATGGATATAATCAATGATCATGCTGTTTGGGCCAAACACAGCTGTTAGTTCATTTCTTAAGAATATCAGTTCAATTCTGGTTACCAGCAAACAGTGCTGCTGTCACTGTATTGTGCATTTTATTTAATGCTCACAAGGAAAAAACCCTTGGACTTTAACACACGTTTGCTTTGCAAGACCTGTACATTGCCAACAGCTAAGTAAGGATGTCAGGATTGGTCCTCAGAAGCTATTCAGATACAGATCAGTAGTGCTATTCAGTGTGTTCTGCCTACAGACACCTTCAGAGCTTTGCTTTAATTATTAGGAATGATCAGGGGAAAAAGGTAAAGATTCATTCTTGCATATTTATATTAAAAGCCCTCTGAGCTCAGAAACTTGTGTTGTTTGGATTTCTTTATTTTGGTTTTTTTTCACAACTGCAAATTTATTTGGACTATTTCCTGTAGCTGGGGAAGAATAGAATATTAGGGGAGTAGAGCAGTGCCAGTCAGTGGAAAATTACACTGTGGTCAGATGAATGAAAAGGGGCACAAGTTTCCTCAGTAAATGAATGTGAAACCATCATGTCTTCAGTTCTCATGATTTTTAAAATCTCGTCTTGTGTTATTCACAAGTCATGTGGTTGCTAACTTAACTCTGGAAGGTTGAGACCATACCTACTAAGAGAGTGCAATAGACCTGCTACTTAACTAAACTACTGGGTTCTCATGTCATCTCATGTGGTCTTCAAAGCAGATTAGAAAATGGTAACACTGGTTGTCAATTGATAAATTTCTACCAAGAAGCTGATATCTAAATATGGAAAATAACTTACATTGTGCCTGCCTTCTAATAAGAACAAGTTGTTTTCTGGAGATTTATCAGTGGATTAGAATCAGGTTTGAGTACTCAAAATAGTATTTTAAATACTTTAAAAGATTTTAGGAATATTAAAAACATTTCCCCCCATTCTGAATGTTAAAAGAAACGAGTAGAGTTAGTCCCTTTGCTCATGCATTGTTTTTTATTTGCCCAGAAATTCTCACTGTCCTTTGGCATCACCTAAATGATATTTATATCATTTATATCCAGTATAGGAGAAGGTGTATGACACAAGATGGGGGGCTGTAGCATGGAAGAACCTGACCAATACTGAAACTATGCATATTTTGTTGGATGCTGAAGTGTCAAAATAAGAAAGTACACGTTTCTCAGCCTAAGAACTGCTCATATCTCGGTTACTTTTTGCCCATTGTTGGCTAGTCAAGATGTATTGCTCCAGATGTATTTTAGCATAATACCTAGAAGTGGGAGAAGCCACTGAGTTCAAAACCCCATAACTACGAAAGGAGCTTATTTGTGTGACCTGTAGATCCATTATGTGACCATATCTGAGAATACATCTAAGTGTGCATTCCAGACTGTAACTAATCTGAAGTGAAATTAAATGTTTATTATAGTGCTTTTTTTCTGAATGTGCAGAGTGTGAAGCTGCTGAAGGTTGACCATGTTCTTGCATAGCTGCCTCATTCTGCCAGTGCAGACGTCTTAACATATGAAGTCTTGGTCAAAATTTGAAATCCTGACTTTCTCCCTGTAGAATATGTCATTCTTTTAGTTCATTGCCAGTTACATGCTTGGTATGTTGCTCAGGCCCAGTGTGAGACAGAAATCAGAACCCATTTCTGAGAGGTCAACTTGTTCTGCATCTGTGGTCTGTATGCACTGAAGGCTGAGTCTCCAGGCGTGGCACAGAGGTTTAAGAAAACTTAGGTTGACTAAAATCAGATCTTCATCCCTACAGTCCTCTTCAAGGTGGGGCATGGTACAACATATGGAATCCAAAACTTCAGGTCAAAAATAATTTTTGCCTGAAGAAAAACATTGCTCATACAGTGCATGTGTCTTTCTTGTCAGGTATCTCAAGATGACAAAACAATTGTTTGAAATGTAATGACAGAGGAATGTATTAGTTCCCATATTTAAAAGAACCAAGTCTGGCAGACAGTGCCTTTTTCTGCACCTATATGATCTAACTTGATACTTCCTATGTATCTGTTATGTGAGCTTGTTTAATGCCGTTTATACCTGTATACCTCCAATTATCTCATATAGTCGGACTGAGAAGAAAACAATGACATCAAATTATCATAGCATTTTTCTTAGCTAGTATGGGTTCCATTCCATAGTGGGGGAACTCTATTTTGAATGGGTTCATATCATGCTTCTTGAGCAGAGATCTCCCCATGTAGAGGAAAATTCAGTTCTCTCTTGCTCTTTTTTTCTACAGGTTTATGCCATTGGCAGTAGTGACAGAGGCTGGAATTTTGTTTTTATCATGTAAGTCCAATTCCAAAGGCTTATTTTGCAAAATTCACTAAAAACATGCATATTAAAAAAAAAAAAAATTTAAGTATTTTGGAGTAGGTTCTAAAGTTCAAGGTGGAAGTGGAAGGCTGCCCATTTTTCTATGGCACATTTCTTCATGGATTACAAACTTCTCCTTAGCGGAACCTCTCCTTCCTGATCTTCAAGGTTCTCCACCATTTGTTTCAGAACTACCATCTGGAAAATGGAGAAATACTGAATTACAGGATTTGAGAGGGATTTTCCACTGACAAGGATGCTGTTTGTGACTTTTGGGGAAGAAGAAAAATCAGGCCAAAGAGGAAGCAGAATGATGAAATAATGCAACAGCAAGACAGTGAAAATATGAGTAAAGAAATGAAGTTAGACTAATGTATGGGAAGAGTGAAACAGCCCTAGATGGGCTACAAGTTGATAAGGATATTTTTGTTTCCTGAAGGATTTTAGAATTAATTTTTGCCTAAGCAGAGGTTTGATAGTTTGCAAGGATAAAAAAACTGAATTTAGTTATTTCTCGTGTGTTTAAAGGTAGAATCAAGTCACTGCTTTGGGTGTTGGTAGCAGTCAGTGAGTCAAATGCTCCTCTCGGTTTCACTGATGCAATCTAATTTGTCTGAGAATCCTTTTCTCTGCTCCTTCTTTGCTATTGTGTTTGTGTGTCCCTTTGCATGTACATTTTGTGTGTTCAGCCCAAGAGTGAGAAAAAAAATTTAGGAATAAGAATAGGACTATGGAAAATTCTGGCTGTACAGTGTTTTGTAACAAAGGGAAAAAATAAGATGTTTTTCATCATCAAAACTTCCATTAAAGATCCCTGTAGTTTAGGTTTTCTTCATCTTCACCCTTCCTTACTTCTCTGTGAGATAACTACTGTCTCCTCTCAACAATATCAAGTAAAGGCACTCGTGTAAAAAGGTTTTAGTTTGTGTTTGCTCATTGTGTTTGTAAGTGGTGCTTAATTGCTCAGGATGAACAGAGCAACAATTTTGAAATTAAAATCAATCCAAAATTTCTTCATCCTTGAATGTTCCCTGCTTTCTCTTAGCTAATGCCTACCTCCAAGTAAAAACCTCTTGAAACAACACAAAATAAATCCAAGCCCTTGGAAATCTCATAGCATTGAAAATGCCCAAGTCTGTTAATATAGAGGCAGGCAGAGACATTTTTCATAATAGTTCTATTTGCTGCTTGACAAATGCTTGTTGAAGCACTTAAAAATTTCACTGCATGTCTGAAACAGCAGTACTGGCATAATAAAATTAAGAGTGCTTTTTATTATCAACAGTGCTTTATCATATTGAACTGTACGGTTCCTGTCATTTCTCTGAAGAATGGGTTTTCAGATGATTTTTTAAACATGATGCTGCTTATTTTGATATATTTTGCAAACATATAACGTGTGGAACATTACACAGATAGTAAACAGATCCTACAGGTAATACATAGGCTGTGTATACTGCAAGAGACAGAGTTTTCCACATAAATTGACAGCTGAAAGCAGTAGATTTTTATTGCAGTTTCTTCATTAAATGCAAAGTACATAAAGGGATAAAATCTAGAGGTTTCAAATACCAGACAGTTAGAAAATTAATATGTATGTCCCATAGTTGCTGCAACTAAAATTTCTGAAGCTTAGCAGTCTACTACACCTATAAAACCAGGAGCTTTTCTGCAGAGAAACTCAATTTTTCAGGTGTCTGTACTTGTACCTAGCATGCCACTAACTCACAGGGCTTTTGCAGAAGTCCAGGTACAGAAGAGTGCTGCAAATGCTCAGCAAGCAGTGAGGACACAAGCAAGGATTAGATTCTTGATCTGAAGTATCAATCCATGTAGAGCTCAGTGTGAACATGAATTCCAGGGACCTTGGAATCCCCATTCCCAAATACCCCCAATGACTCCATGGCTGACAGTGTAAGCTATAAATGCTGTCCTAGCAGAACTACATCAAGCTGCCAAAATTCAGTGTGACAATACTGAACTGTGACAAATCCTCTTACCAGACTAGTGAAGCTGTGTTTAAAAGCCCATTTCACACAGACAAATCGTGGCCCCAGCCCAATCTGTTAGGCCCCCCCTATGGTTTTCCTTATCCACTCGAGGTATTGCCCTGCCAGGCGAGTGTAGACACCAGGGCTATCAGCCTTGCCACATCTCTTTGGCTTCCCAAATGAAGTGATGCCTCTCAGCTCCTTATTACATATTAAAGGTCCACCGGAGTCCCCCTAGGAAAAGGGAAAATATTGTCATTCAAATCAACAAAAGCTAAAAAAATGTTTCCTTTAAATAAAATTTTCACTAGTTAGATGGAAAAAATGAAAATGTAGCCAGTGTTATTAGGGATCATTTTTTCCTCCTTGGAAATTAAGATTTCCAACAGCAAAACAAATGAAAAAAAGGCTTCATAGACTTAAAGCTAATCTTTCAAGAGTGTGTAACAAGGAGTGAATCTAGCTCACTACTAAGAAAGAATTAGTCTTTTTGAAAATGAAGAAAAAAAGCTGAAAATTTTCATGGAACGTGTAAGTTTTCAGAAACTGATGCCTTTTTTGGTAACTTTTAAAATGCAGTATTTAAATCTTTTTAAACGTGGTAGTTCTTACACAGTTGTGTACTTGACTTGGGACCCAGTCAAAATGTTTTTTATCAGCAAAACCTATTTCAAAGTCTTCTGACATCAAAAAAGTTGTTCCACTGAGGTCAGCTACTTGAGAATGGGCCCATTAGCTGTTTTGTGGCCATTTTGGTACTAAACTCATTTTATTGAAGATGAGGATAGCTATCTGCCATGCCTGGATACACCTGCAATATCAAAACGGTGTGAAGGTGAATTTACCCATCTTAAGTTTTTATTTTAAGGCTTAGAAGAACAAGCCTTGGTAAATCCACTGATATTTGATAAAATTCTTCATTGATTTGAAGAGAGATAGAGATTGAAAATGTGTAATGCTGGTACATTTTATTTTTAGTATACAATTATGAAGTCATAACAAATATACTTACATTACATGAGTCCTTTCCTCCATTCTTAGCCCCTGCACATATCATGTTCTCTGTAATGACAGGTTTGCCATTATAATGATATTTATTGTTGCAGATTTCCCTCTTGATAACAGTGATATTGACTTCCATCAGGGCAGTAGGGGGCTTATATAGATTATTGGCAATTGTACCCCATCCTGCTGCAGTGCAAATTGTTCCTGGTTTGGGATCATCATCTGAGGTAGGCAGGGAGATTAGTTTCACAGCTTTATTAAGCTTTGCTCTTCTCTGAAGCTGTAGAAGATATGGAAAATAGGTATTATGGAGCAGAGTCTAACAGAGTCCCTAGCATATTAACCATTGGATCTTTCCCATTATGGTAATTAATGCAATCCCTTTTTGAGATTCCTTAATTCTTTGTGACAGTATTTATATCATCAATGTAACAGAGTATTCTTTGTCTCATGAGAGCCCACTTACCTTCTGCTGATCTATTAGCTTTAAAAAACATCTCATTTTGCTTCCCTGGCTCTCAGACCATTTAGAAGGCAAAATAACAGTAATTATGGATGCTGGAAAAGCTGAGGATGAATCAGACATTTTTAATTAGAACTGTTTTTCAGACAGAACATTAGTGCTTTCAACCCAATGTTTTATCTGCATGAATATTCTTTTATGGAAAAGCCAGATACTGAAATATCTTGATCAAACTCCAGAATGTGTCTACTAGCTATGGCAAACATTACAGGAATTGTCAATTGCCTTAGTTACCAGTGCATCCCCAATTCCCTAGGCTGCTGGATTAGCAGATCACACTATAACACCCCAGAAAAAAAGCCACCAGAAACTCCTTTGGCTCGTCTCCCTCACAAGAAGGAAGAAAATATTTCAATGTAGAAGATGTATATTTCACAAGTGATATATAAGTATGTACCTGAAGCAGCATAATGTCATTTTCCTTGGTACTGGGGTCGTAGCATGGATGACGAATCCATTTTGCAGTCTTAAAAGTCTGCTGTTCTTTTTCCCTTTTTTTCAATGAATGGGCTCCAAGAATAACTTTGCTTTTTTCCCTGAGGAGAGGACCACATAGTTATTGGGATTCACTTTGATGTAACTTCAAATTTTTTGCTGGTTAATGTGGTGCTATAATATCTGGCTGCTACAGTCTCCTTTCTTGTGCCTGAAAAGCAACAGTAATTTAAAATAATCCAAAAGATGACCCTGTTCATACAACAGCTAAAAGAAAAAAATGACTCAGTGAATCGAAATTCATGCTATCTTATTTTCGTAAGGAGAACAGAAAGGTTCAGGTACTTGACTCAGTATCTATCCCTACTGTTTCCTTTTGTGGACTGGATGAGTGGTGGATGTGTCAGGTTTGCTGTGGGTACTTGTCTCACCAACCATGCTTTCTGTAATTTGTGCTGAAAATTTAGAAAAATAGGTTAGCTCAGAGATATCCTGACTGTATCAAAATGTACTATTGCTTTGCTATAACAGATTTCAACACCATTTACTGAATCGGTGTGAGACACAGCTCATTCCTCTTCTCTAGGTTTTCCTGCAACTTCCTGTACTTACAAGACCCTGAAGAGTGTCAGAGTTGTGCCTGCTGCAGCTCTCTGACAGACACGCTAGAAGTCTACAGCACTCCTTGGCCAAACAGGCCAAGCAGACTTTACTAACTGACCACAGGTACAGCTGGTTTTGGGCAAACAATGCATCCTACAGCTGAATGGGAGAATATTCTTGGAGGAGATGTGTATGCTGGCCCTCATTCATGTCTTATTGTGGAAAACTCGACCCTGGGAAAGTGGTTGCTCCTTTCCTTCACCTATTGAGAGCTGTCTGTTGACATCACTAAGTTAATAACTGATTGTATTTTCTCCTGAATGCAATCTCATTTGGAAACATTTTTTACTTTCTGTTAATACACAGCTTTTGGGCTCAGTGCTCTCTTTGTAGTAGGTTCCACATATCTCCCTGTCTGGACAAGGACAGGAGAGATGGATACATTTCTCTGATGTTTGCAGAGTCCAGTGGCTCACTGGTCTTGGTCAGGCTGTTGACAGAGACTGAGTGAGGTCTGGTTCAGCAGCAGTTTCAGTTCTCCCCACAAAAGCAAGTGGAGGTGGGATGTGTAATTCAAAACTCACTTCTTGCTTTGCTGAAGGACTCGATAGAGCCAAATATCCTTTTGCATCTTGATTTGGGCAGGAGAAAGAAGCCAACATACCAAGTTAAGGCAGAGGTCAGTCAGTGTCTCCTGTCATCTGTTCAGAGGTTTTTTGCTGTTCAGAGTTTTGCTCCTGTGTTAACCACATGCTGTCTCTTTCTGTGGTGAACTGCATATCTCTTACAGAATAAAATTACAAGAATTAATTTTTGTTCTCAGAGCAGCAGTTTAAACTGGACATTCATCTAGTGTACAAGCTGATTGAGAAAACAGGGATAAAACTTTCCCCCAAATTCACTGCATCAGTGTTGCTATTCTATTCTTGCATGCACCTAGAGGTTTTTAAATATCTCTTTAGAAACAATGGAGATCAGTATACCTTGTTATATTTTTTACTCACAAATTTTCTGATAGAACCTGTAAAGCACAGTAATCAAAACTTGATCATTGTTGTGATAAATGGATAAAATTACCAGAGATACTAACTCTCCTGCTTGAACAGAGATACTAGATACTCACTAAGGACAATATCTGAATCAGAGTAAGAACTCACACTTTACAATGTGCAGCTGTTAACACCCAGTTTTCCTTGATTAAAACTCCTCCACAAAAATCTCCTTTTGGTCCCTTGATTTGGGCCATAAATGGTCTTGAGTGTGGTTTTACTTCATTTCCTCCAATGATTTCTGCACACAAACCTAAAAAAGTAAGCCACAAGACACACAGATTGGCTAACAAATACTGTAAGACACATCCAAAGTACAATGAGCAAAAATCTTAGAAAACACGGCTGTTGTAATTAGAAAACATACAGACACACAAGTATGCACATATAATGATGGTCTCTAGGGGAAATTTTAAAATTGCTCAGCACTATTACTTCATTACATTTCAATAATGCTGGAATGAGATCAGTGGAGAGAGCTAGGGCGAAACCCCCCCCAAAGTTTTGCTGCTTTTGCAGAGATTTATTTTCTTGAAGATCACTGATATGGCTAATTTCATAGCTTTCATTGCGAGTAATAACCTTCAATATGCTATATCATAAATATCATGCATGGAAACTGGACTATATTGTAAGTCACATTATGTCAATCTGTTTTTCAGAAAAAGAGAAAATCAAGCAGTTAATGTATGTCTATGGCTCTGGAAAGAACGATCAGATAATCTTATTTCTCTACTCAGAACTCCTCCAAACAGCTTGGACTTCGTGCAGTTTTACTTAAGACTGCCTATTCAGAAATTATTTTCCTGTGTGTGTGAAAGACCGAACACATGCACACAGTGGAGAGGAGCTAATTATAAGAATTCAAATAATAATTGTGGCTACTTCCTTTATATTAATATATGCTGGCTTACATAGAATTCTACATCAGCACTTACCTTCAAAAGTATTAAATTGCGTACTTACCTCCATGAATTACCAGGAGAATGACAGCAGCAAAGGCACACCAAGGGAGGAAAGCACCCATGATTTCTGTCTGATGTTCCTCCTTATTCACTGTTTTATACACCTCTATCTACCAATCTATTTATATATATACATAATTGAAGAGGATGTGGGTTTTGTTTTTCCTCTTAAGGGTGTTTGACATCTGTAACCATGCTAAAGACAGAAACCCTCCCCAGCGATGTACCTTACAGCAGAGGTGTCAGTGAGAATGTGCGTCATCTGCTATGGTGTGAAGAAAGGCTCTGCCCCACTTCATGTTCTCTCTGCAGCATTTGCTGAGAACTGATGTATGAATATAGGGGCAAAACACAGTGGGACTCAGTTCATGTAAATTCAGGCTGATTCAGTTGTCCACGTGAAATTGTGTTTCATTCCAGACACCTCAGGCGGCTTCCAGGTCAGACACGAATTCCAGTACATTCCCCATTAATGAAATGTTTGTTCTGCTTAGGAGACCATCAGGGCCAAGGAATCTGATGTTTTCTCATTTCAGGATCTGATCCTATCTCATTAGATTTGCACTGGCTGAGCATTAATACAGCACTGGGTGTGGTTTCATGGTCTATAGCTAAGGGTATAATGATATTTAAAGTGTCTTGAGGTGTTTTAGGTCTGGTGTAAAAGGCCATCAGTCCTCCGAAGATGGTGTGTCAGATTGTCAGCCCTGTGTCATGTCTGGAAAGCCCACAGTACCTCAAGTGTGACCAAATGCTGAGTTTTAGGCAACTGAATTGAGTACTGAACACTAGAGGTGGTTGGGCACGGGAACTGGCTTCCCAGGGCAGTGGTCACAGCACAGACAGTGCTCTCAGGCACAGGTGTGACACTTGGGGTGTCCTGTGCAGAGCCAGGAGTTGGACTTCAGTGGTCCTTGTGTGGTTTCTTCCAACTCAGGATATTCTATGATTCTGTGAATAAATCTTATCTAGAGCCTTGTAAAGGCACAGTTTCTCCCTTGCAAATATATACCCAAATAATAAAAACAACTTGCATCAATATTAAAAAATTTGGAGTATCAATTATTCTGTAACCTAACTAGTGAAATATCAGTCACACAAACTGGAAGGATTCTTGAAGTCCTGAGCCTCACAATAGGCAATCTGCAATCTGCAGAAAGAGTCCCACAATAAAGAGCTTGCAGAAATCTTCTGGGTTCTAGCTGTATCATATCTAGAGCTCAGTTGGCCCAGTACCATGTGAATTTCATCTGTAAAAGACCTGGGCAGACCTTGCTCGAATTTGCTGTTGCTCTCCTTTCTGGGGCAGAGGGTAACTTGGCAATTTTTCTGAAGAAGGCAGACGTAGATCTAATTTTAGAGACTGTGGAGCTTTCTGTCACTAATGCGTCTTTGTTGAGACATAGACACTTATGTGACCTGGTGACAGTTCCGTGCACTACTAAAGCTCACCAAGATTTAATTTTCTTTAATTTTTCTCCTCATTACTAGCACATTCCCCGCAATTATCATCACTTTGTAGCATTAGTATTCTTTTTAACACTGTTCTCCTGAACACATTATCACCAAGTATCATAGGTACAACTCTTCATTTTATTAATCACAATTATTTGACAAAGTCTGATTTTGATATTTTAATTAGCTCTCTACCATATTGATGCTGTTTTCTGTCTGGACTATGCAGAGACATGATGAGGATGAGCACTTGTGAGCAAAAATCCTGTATGCTCAGACATGTTTAAACTTGTAGTGCTACAATGATTCATCCTTGGATGGTTCTATGTGAGGTGCAATGGTCAGTAAAAAGAGGTTTGGTATGTATCATCCTATGTTTGCCTGATCTGTCTTCAAAGAAAATCTATTTGAAAGACACAGAACAAAACATTAGCAAATGTTCCTAGATGTTTTCCAGATAAATAGATACAGGTAAATCTATGGCTTCTATCTAAAACCAAATATTCTGTAGCCTGTTTATACTTTTTCAGTTTCTAGTTGTGCTTCTATTTACCTCTAAATCATACTTCTAAAGATGTTTTATCTGAAACTCCATAGGTACTAGCATATCCAAGCTTCTTAAGAAGTCCCCTCCAATTCTGAGAGATTGATTGACATTGATAATAAGAATTATAAATATGCAGTCTAAGCTATTGTTCAGTATCAGCTGATGACTTTCTGTGCAAGTCCTGAGCAACCTCTCTAACAGTCCACAAAATCCCTGATGGCACGGGTGTTAAAGATCAGATTGATAAGCACATAATCAGCACCAATTTTGTATCCAAATGCTTTGTTAGAAGGGTCTCTTAACCTTCTAATTTACATCTTTGAGGCTGAAAATTTGACTTAAAGTTTTACGGTGTGCAATTAGTTGTCTGAAAGGGCTCTTTGGGTTATGGCAACAAGTTAATTTATGGTGAAGTTCAGATTCTATTGGCCTTTTGCATGTCAAGGAAAACCGCAAAGCAAACCTTCCTTCTCTAGTCAAATTCTTTCCGTAGTTCCTCTGTTGCATACTCAGCTGGTCTTCAAGGGGAGTGAGGTATTGTAAGCAAAGCACTCTGTCCTTTCTCTTCTGGCAGAAGCCACTGCCTGAGTAAAGGAACCAGGAGTATATGCAGTTCTATTTCCAGCCTCTGCCTTTGGGGAAGTTTCCTGTGGTCTTTAGGCCCATGGCTCAGGGGATAATTTTCAGCTCTGCCCATTACTGTGCTGAGGTCTCCTATCCCTTTTTTTGTACTCTGCCGTTTTTGACCATTTTCCTTTCACAGTGACTGTGGACTTTTTCTGTCATGCTGCTTTCTTTGGTGCTTGAGGTGACCATCAGATGTGATTTTAGGACATCCGTTCAGGAGACCAATTTAAACTGCACCTCTAAACCTTCCAGGTTTGCTGGTGCTGAGTTCAGGCAGCCTCAGCTCAGCTGAAGGGCTGTTTTCTTGGGCTGGAGTTAGCGGGGCAGGAGAGTGGTGCAGAGCTGGCAGCTGCCAGGAGCACAGCAAGGCAGAGCTACCACACTTTCCCTGCCTTCTCCTTGGGCTGCCCCATCCCAATCCCACCCCAATGTGTCTGGACACATACCTGTGTGACTGGGAGACAGACTCCCAGGGATCTGCTGGAGAAAGGGCAGAACACATGCTGGGGCACACTTATTTTATTTTCTTCTCTGGTACCAGTGCCTCATAATACTTACCTGGTTGTCTTTTGTGCCTCAGCTCTTCACTCACTATCCCTGTTTCCATTTATTTGCTATCACTATTTGTGATATAAGTGGAAAATGTAGTAGCACAGAAATACAAGTAGATGTAGTAAACTCAAAGCCTTGCAGCAAATCAGCATTCCCTCTATGGTGTTGATAGTACTTGGCAGAAAGAATCCAGCATTAGATATTATGGTCTGGGAACACAAACCTTCTCCTGTCTGACCACAGCATGTATCTGTTTCCTATTTTGTCTCTTATGCTGCTTTCCAATACAGATATTTATTGGGAGGGCAAAGCCATAAAGGACAAACATAATTATGCCTTTAGGACTCTCTTTGCAGAGATTACCTGTGGGTAATCTCTAGTGGGTGAATAAATCTGCAATTAGATAATGGAGAATGACTTTGAGGGAACTGGAGCTGGCTCTTTTAAGAGCTGATGAATTCTAATAGTCATCTGCTTTCTTTTAAAAGAGCTTTGGAACAGTCTTCTGAAACACGAATTGTGTTACATTGTGCTGCATTGTGTGCATGTTTTTAAACTGGGTTTGAACTAATAAGATTCTGTGACATAGAAATAAGCATTTCAATGTTACAATCTCATTCAACAATGAGATTGAGACTGAGAGCTGCCCTTCTGTAATTATTGAATAAAAATGACAGCTAATTCTATTGAGTAAGTTATATTTTGAATTCTTTCCAAAGGTACTGAATGTGGTAGCAAGTTTCATAACATCTTCACTCCAGGGCAGACTGGGTTTTTGTAGTGGTTTACCAACAAGGAGTGTAAAACGTGCATGTAAACACAGAAGTCTGCAATACAGAAATGTTTCTCACCAATTTATCTTTTTTATGTGACCACAGATTAGGGGTTTTTTTTGCATTTGGCACTTTTAGAGTCTAGGGTTTTCTGTATTTGAAAGCTGCACCCTCCAAAATTCTTTTTAACAAAATACAAATTTCTTTGTCTTACATGTATGTGGCTGGCCTTGGCTTGTCTTTCATATCCCATATTCCTTAGCTTATAAAATAACAGATGTTGACAATTCTCAGTGGTTCTTTTTAATTTGCATACGAATATTTTTCAGCTTTTCAACAGAAGATGTTACCCGGGCAGTGGAGCAATTGCAGGCCACTGATGTGCCTTGGTCCACAGGAGTGACTTTTGTACTCTTTGTGACCTGAGTTTACTCTATCTGGGTCCACAGTTCAGGAGCAGCTCTTGAACTCTACATGCCCTGATTATTCCCTCACATTGGTGTTCTCTGAAGCCTTTTCAGGTGGCCCTTGCATTCATCATTCATTCTCCCTTTTTTTTCACCAGCTTAAAGACAGCCAGTTTAATTCTTCTCACTTTTTTTTTTTTTCATTTGAAGCCAAAAATGCATTGAATACCATGAGACATCTAGGTTAGAGAGATTAGATTTTAAAGAAACTGGAAGAGAGAATCTAGAGAAATCAATCTGCAGTGAAATAACCCCATATTAATGATGTAAAGGGAAACTTCAAGAGAGGGAGCTATTAATAAAAACTTTCAAACCCATTTCCTGTAGGGGACACTTAAATGCAGAAGAGTGCATGGCAATTTGCAGTGTTCCTGTCAGCAAACAGCAGCAGCTATGACACCTGGAAGCTCTTCTGCTCGCCTGCTCTCTTTAATTGCTGTTACCCTACTGACGAGATGCAAGTACTCACCTAAGAGTAAAAATATCCAAATTCCCTATTCCTCTGGACAACACATAATACAATTGCACTTCTGTTGCACTTCAGAGGGCTGCATGGACATTGTTGGAGGATATGAAGTGTATCCTCATTCTCGGCCTTATATGGCTGCTATGTGGGACAAGAATTTAGGTGTTTTTTGTGGAGGAACTCTTG